ATGAGGCATATTGAAAACTATATTAAATTACCCTGATTAACAATTTAGCCACGAACAGGGGAGCTTTGGGAGATCTCTATAGGCAGGGCTGGGGGCTATTCATGCCAGTAGCTAAGAGGTCGAAAGGTTTCTGAAGTTCACAGGCTCAGATCCTTTGTTATGCTAACAGACAATCTCAAATCAGCTGCCTAGTAGAGTGTGAAATATAAATGATTCCTTGAGAACTTCCAATAAGTTGTCACTCTTGCTCTCCAAATACCAGGACAGCTGCTAATTTCTAGCAGGCCCTTTTTGCAACATCGCTAGCCCTAAATGAATGCCTTTGTAGTTCAAATAATCTTTTCAAGGGAGCTGTCCTATCATAATAGCCCAAATGCATCTTGGTTTTGACTATTAAATGAAAATCAGGCCTCAGCCGTGCTTGACTTTTCCAAACTGCCCGGTGCTTGGGAAGGGTGGTAGCAGCCCACAAGTTAGCACCCACTGCAGGGGTCTAGGGCATTAATAACACTCTATAGACTGGGAGTTACTGAGAATGGAGCTTCAACCCCAGGCCTCACCCCTCCCCCTACTATAGACAAAGCTGGGGAGGTGGGGGGTAGGGGTGCGATTTACGTGTCTTCCTTCCCTTATTTGAGACTGCCTTCCTCTTTCAACCCATCCAACTCCACCATGATCTATGGGCACTTTGTCCAGCAAGACAGAAAGCTGACACCCAGTTTGGTTGCCAGTATCTCACTAGTCATCTCAAAGCATCGATTTTGAGAATGGGTGTGTTCATTTTTCTAGGGTGAAGGGAAGAAAAGACTCAGAGGGCATGGTATGCTCAGGCCACGTCCCTAGGATCAGATCCCTGCAGTTGAAGACAGGCTACATACATGGCTTGTGCTCTCAGATGGGTACTTTAAATATGTTCTGATGACCCAGAAAGAAGACTTACCTACTATGAATCTAAAACAAAAGTTATCCGAATAAATAAATACTCCTCCCAAAGAAATATGTAAGAGGGAGATTGTAACTACATTAATCATCCTTCTAAGAAAGTATATTCTATTTTTCAAGGGCAAGATATGCTTATATTAAGAAAGAAAACAAAATGAGGCAAAAGGGAAGAGAGGTTAAAAAAAAGGCTAGAAATCCTACCATATCTGTCTTCCCAAGGGTAGGCAAAAAATGGTAATATGGCAAAACAAGCTTGAATTCAGCAAAATTTGCTGTATTTTTTTCTTTGCAGTCCAATATTACACTTATGGAAACATGAAAAATGCTGTGATTTTATAGGGGTCCAGGCTTTTTCCTAGCAATAGAAATTCAGTTTGTAGGTTGGGGATAGGAAGGAGGGAAATAAAATATTTATTTCAATAGATTCTTAAGAATAACTCTGTAAAGGTTGTTAATACAGTTAGACTATCCAGAGAAACTGAAATGCCTTAGTTTCCCTTTACTCATCTACTTCTCTGACTGTGCTCATTTAAAAGACTACATAAAAAAGACTTTTTTATGAGTGTGGTTTGGCATAGACAAACTTTTAAGCAAACATTTTTTTTCCCAATCACAGATGTCCCCTCTCTATATTTGTGCCAAGTATTTTGCACCTTCACTAGAAATTAACAAGAAATGAGGTCTGTTCTAAGAAGTATAACTTTTGTCAAGCTAAGTATCTTCTGTTTAAAAATTCTGAAACTTGTTTTTAGATAAATCACAGTAGTTGATACAGCAGGAAAAGGGACATGGGGTGCAACTCGATAATTTTTTGATGTGATAAGATATTTGGAAATCAGATCACTATTTGTCATTCAAGTCCTTTGTTAATTTTCTGCAAACGATAATGGGGCATAATATAGCAAGAAAAAATTAGTCTGGATCTCTGACATTGAAGAGGCAGAAGTTTGAGGTTTGTTCTAACAAATGTCAGAATCAGACTGTAATTTGTTATTGATCTACTCACACCCCTTTCAGAGGTATCTTCTCAGAATCACTGTTTTCACTGGGATAGCAGGATGACTATTCACCTTAAGATCTACTTTTAAATACACAAAGAGTTAAAAGTTTCAAAGACACAAGTCATTTCAAAATTGATTTTTTAATTTTTCCTTTTTTTCTTTTAATAGCTGTCCAAACTACACATCGTCTACATGTTAATAGTATATATGCTACAATATAATACATGGAAGATTCAAGGAAGAAATACCTTCACAGGGCTTTCCAAATGCTTATTCTAACACTTGGAAGTATCTTCTCTCCCTTTCCTGTCTTTAATACATCAAAACAGGAAAGAAAGAGCTTTTGTGTTATGACTACAGAGAAAACATTTGAGAACGTGTCAGTGTAGTGAATGCCAGCATCAGTTTGGGGGTTGGTTTGTTTTTCCCCTTGCCATGGTATTCTTTTTTTTCCCCTTTGCTTTTGCAGTCTTTAAATTTTGGCCACTTTGAGAAAAAGCAATAGCTGAAATGTAAAGTTAGGATGAATTACATTAAACCTACATGTTTCAAGAATATGAGCATGATGAATAGGAGGTCTGTGACATCATGGAGATTGATCAGTTCTTCACAGAAAGCCTCTCCTTTCCTCCCTCCCTTTGCCCCCCCCAAACCCTCTCCTCACTCTTTCTAAAATATACTAGCTCCAACTGAAAGGGGGGAAGGAGAGTATTGAGTTAAAAAAAAAAGTTTGCAGTACTGCCATTTCTAGGCATGAGGGGTGGGGGCTGGGGGAGAGAAGGTAGATAACAGCTCTGGACACTGTACATAGAAATACATAAACAGTTCAAATAGATATTTGTCTCTTTGAATAAGTTGTTTACAGGTCTCTCCCAATCTTTGACATGTGTTTCCTTTAGGTGTGCATTTATTTCAGAAAGTAGAAAATAAGATATGTACATTGTCTCTAGCCTCGGTTAATATTTATAGCCCACAATGGGCAACAACTTTTACAAAGGTATATTACATCCCTTGTATTATACTTATATCTTTTTCCATTATAATTGGGACAAATTAAAACAAAAAACACTCTTCCATTAACAGAGACCTAGGAATAGAAAGACTAAGAATTAAAAAGCAAAATGACTCCAAGATGGCTGCCTTTCCTTCTTCTCCCTCCTTCTGCCCAGTTTCCACACAGAAATTAATATCATATTTTGTTTAGAAATCACATTTTAGGTCACTTGCAAATGAGGTAGCCCAAGTGGCACCCACAGCTGCCTGGAATACTGCAATGCTATAATCATGGTATAGAGAGATTAAAATGCAAACATTCAAATGTATTTAGATGTGTACACAGTGAATAGACACACACACACACACACACACACACACACACTTGCATGTGTGAAACACACATACAGCTGCAACACAATAAAAGACAGAAATCCTACTTAATTCTTAGGACGGAAGGGCAAAACAGAACACCAGGGCCACTACCTTCCTCCCCAAAGGTTAGAAAATGCAGTGCTCATTGTCTAGATTTGATTTTTTTTAAAGATATATCTTACTGATGACTCTCTCATTAGGCAGACTTCTGAGGTCTGGGGAGACAAGATTTCCATAAATTATCTCTGTAACTCATCTCATGCTGGTGCAAAATGCAAAGCTAAAATTGAATTTTATGTGTGTGGTTTATTTTTTTTTTAAAGATAGAATATCAGGTTGCTCAGTTTCCCTGACAAATATATTAAAGGGTTGATGACTAATAATTACTGCTATTATTTATGATAATAGTGGTTTTTTTTTAAATCACAAGATTCCACCCATAAAGCTAAACTGAAAACAATATACTGAATAAATAAAGCTGTATTGGGGGAGTTTACACCATTCAATATAACTGGTTAGCAGGTTATTCTGCTCAGAGTACAGGCAAAGAACAAAGCAAATGGTTCAGTTCCACTAGGAAATATATTTTTTTAAAAAAACCCTTTATCTAAAAGCCATCAGGGACAAGCACTCAATACAAGTTAACAAGCAGGAACTGATAAGATAACATTTATATGAGGTCAGAAGTCAAATGCCAGTCAAAGGCTTTTAACCTCTTGGGTCATAAACAGGAATAGTTAAAACTGAGAGATAGTTATTTATCGGATTTTAAGGGTACCTGATCATTGTCAGAGGATCACCGATGATGAAACTAATTGGGATTTATAGAAGAACTTGTAGCTGTTCAGACAAAATGAAATCATGAACCTATAATTCTTCAATTCTTAGAAAAAAAAATCCCCCCCACCCTTTTTGTACATAAATCTACCAATTTAAACAGATTTAGGAACAAAATATTGTACACTGCCTTCTAAAGAGGAACATATGTAACCAACACACAGATTGATTAGCAGAATACGTGACTAATGTCGTCATATGTAGATTCAATATTTACAGTCTGAAAATAATAAATAAGCAGCCACAAAACTCCCTCCCCATTGTGCTGCTGGTGCTCCTCCACCCCCATAGGACTCCCAAATCAGACAAACTGTAGCACCAATATTAAAATATGTCTTGCCCCACAATGCCATCTTTTACACATTCATGAACAGTTATTTTTTTTTAAATTGCAATTATTGGCACAACTCTCTAATATAGGAAAACGGAAACCCACTTAATTATATTTTTTTTATCTCAATCTAGTTAGAGATACAGGCATCCCTCCTTTTCTCTGCTGTCACAGTATTTTTTTTCTCTTTGTTTTGAATTTTTTGTTTTGTTTTGTCTAGTGTCGGTTTACATTCTAAACTCTCAAACAATTCCTGGTCCCCAAGCTTATACCTAGCTTGTATTTTCAAAGCCTATCTCCTCCCCCCACCCTTTTTTTTCCCTTTGCAGCAGAAGAAAGCAAATCTAGATATTTCTTTCTACAGAAAGATAGAGGGATTGTTGTAAGGCCTGCTAAGGCCCACTGTTTCTTTAAACAGAGTCCACAATACACTAGGCGAACATTGTGGATTTAAAATGCTTTTAAATATTTATCAGAAGTATTTTATCATCATATTCAAATGACACCTGGAGTGCACTCACCTTTATTGACAATCTCTGTTCTGAAAGTCCATTTGCTTCCTTAAAGCCCCCCAAGCAGAACAAGCACTACCCGTTTTCATTCAGTTAATGTTTAGTAAAAAACCAAGCAACCTTAATCAGCATGCTGATTGCATCGTCAACTAACAAATAATTTACTACTCTGAGCATTGCATTCCATTAAAAGCTCATTAAATTTTCTGTTCTCCAATGGGAGGTTTAGCTTTTGAACTGCATGCTTTTGCTTCGAATGATCATTTATTCAATTTTTGCAAAATGTTTTTTTCTAAGTATAGGTGAGCATTTCAATACCTATAGAGTGCAAATATATGAAAAACACAGTCTAGGGTTTGATTTTGTTCAGTCATTTGATTTATAAGCTATCTTTATCAAAATTCAACACAATCATTTGCACTTTTAAAGAATTGTAAAAAAAGCTCTGTGTGGCTCTGTCTGACCCAAACTAACCTTGGAAACATAAAGAGATATACTAAAATGCCCTACAAGTGCTATATGTATTACATGTATGTAAAATATGTAATATGTCACATATTATATATGTAATATATAATGTATATATCTGAAATTCCCATATTCCTCTCAAGTAACACTGCATTAATATAATTTTTCTTATTTTCCTATTTGTAAAGGGTTGCCTTCCAACTATTCCTAAAGGGAATGACATTGCAAAACCCTCGCCATACAGAATGTCAAACTTAGACTATCCAGTAACAAAAAAAAAAAAGATTCTGAGTAACCCACAGATTCTGAGCCTGAACAATTTTACAATCCTCTGGATCCTTTTCTTGTTCAGTTATTCTAATAAGGTACATATTATCATTATATTTAATATAGAAAAATGTAAGAAAATAGCCAATCCCAAAATTAACATGCATCTTTGGGTTGCTAATTGTGCTCATTGCAAATTTGGGTCATTTTGCATGAGTGATTCTAATGTAGGGCTGAGATTGCCACATAGCGTAGTGGATTCCTGATTCCCTGCGCTAATCCTGAACTCGTGATTGCGTCAGGTGCAGTTCTGTATGCTCTAGCAGCTGGCTCATCCTCATCAATGCAAATAAGGCAACTCCTACAATCAAAGCCTCCTGAGTGTAAAGCCTGATTGCTGAGGGCAGGCGAAAGCACTACACAGACTCTCACTTTCAAATCACATTAAGTGACAAGACAACTGCGATGTCCCCCTGGTTCAAAATCAACCTTTAGAAAACAAAACAAGAAGAGGAAGAGGAGGAAGAAAGAGAAGAAGGGGAAGAAGAAAGAAGGGGAAGAAGTCCCTACTCATTTGAATGGTCAACATTCTTGTTTAAATGGACTTTCTCTGGATGTGGACTTGTGAACTTCAGACAAGCCCACACTTGGGCAGACACTAGCTAATATTCATATAATTACTAGGCAGGCACCAAATCTCACCAACAATATACTGATTATTTTCTCAAGGAACTTTCAGAGATGATGTGTCTCTGTACACACAGAGAAACAACAACGACAGAAAATGCAGAAATAACATTGTGCCATAATTTGAATATCATTTGATCTTATAACTGAATTCCCATTTGACATATTGCTCCTACCCAAAGCATGGAAAATGCTATGAGTAATAAAAAGCTCAAATGCTTTCCCTAGTGTTTCTACACAGAATCTGGACAACACTTAGTTCTAAAAATGTAAAAGAAAAAAAAAAGAAAATGCTGGTTTTTCTTTTAAAAAAAAATCCTAAAATATGTACAGATTTCTGATTCCATCTGAGCCCCATCCTCTGTTTCATTTTCTCATTTTAAGGGATGCTTAGCAGTAGCATTCAGCTTTAGCATAGAGCAGTTTTCTAGGTGAGGACATGTATGTAAGAGCTGAATAAATGGCTTTCCAGAACTGTTTTGAGTGCATAAAGGAGCTTCATTCTGGGAACCAGTACTAGATTCTTATGTAGACAGATCAGCAGACACCTTATGTGAACTTTGAGGGGTCGTCTAAAGAAATATAAGTAGATATCAATTACTAGCTGTGTAATCTTAAAGAAGTGACACTCTCTCAAAGCCTCAGTCTCCTCATCTGTAAAATCTGGAAGTTGGATATTGAACTAAATGCAGTCTAGGTCCCTTCCTGAACAGTCTGTAATTTGGTATTGCTCTTTCTTCTATAGTGGCTTTTTCATTTTGTCTCTTCTAGATGTAGGGTACTGGAATATGATATCAATACTAAGGGAAGAAAAGTAATATTGGCCAGGAACAGGTCAGCTCCCAGACCCTTTTCCCCTACAGCAGTGAGTAGATGCAGTTAATGCTGCTGAAATTTACCCCAGATAGCTTCCTAGGCTTGATATTCCCTCCTACAACCAACAATGCCACTTCTTTTGCCAAACTCATTAAGCCCTCTGAACCTGGATTCTAGGAAGTAACAAAACCCATCAACAAACTAAGGAAACAAAGGTGAACAATTTTTGAAGACTTCTCTTCAATTAAGAAAAGGACAATCCCTTGATTATTACCTGCTTCTGTCCAGCAATGAAGCTAGCATGATGTTTAAAGGCCCACTGAGGTAGGATGCTGAGCTGGTCAGAAGGATGGCTCTAGGACTCTTGCAAATCATTGACACTTAGGGGGCTTGAAGTTGGGAGAACAAGTCAGACCAGTGAGTGATTCGATCTTTCACAGCTACTGCTCAAGACTCTCTCCTTCTCTTTCTCTCTAATAGGATTAACAGATATTTTCCTAAACGGAAATCAGAATGTGTCAAATCATCTGTGACAGTCAATTTGCTGACAATGCCCACATTCTTGCAGTACTGATGCAGCACTATTCATAAACAGTTTCATTTCAAGGGATACAATACATCTGAGAGGTAAACATTTATCTTCATAATCTTACATTCCTTTCAGACTCCCTTAATTCTTCTTCGTGTATTCTCCTCCTCTTTCACCCTCCCCACCCCACCTCATCTTCAAAACATCTCGTACAAAAAGACATGACATCCCCAGTGAGCTAGGGTCTCTAGGATCCTGATGATGCAATATGTATGCTATATTATTCCTAGGAAGTCCTTGTTATGTTACCTTTTCCTATGCCACAGCTCCACATTGTTTACAGGGTCATTTTCTAGATGACCTGTTAGGGTTGCTTTCTTTCCTCCCTCTAACCTCACCCCAAAGTGATCATCCTCCTTCTTCCCTTCCTCCCCCACACTCAGTTTTATGGTTTTTATTGCAATAGCTATTCTTACCACTGGCACATCCCTCTGCAGTTTCTCCTTGGGGATGCATTAGGTTTTCCTCCCTGCGCTCCTTCCAACCTGTTTGTCCTCACACTTTTCTCTACAGTATGGGCTGGAATTATCTCTGGAACCCTCTAAGAAGGAATGGCTATTTGAGGATTTTCAAAACTGTATCACTGATATACCTGAAGTTCTTTTACCCTTTTTCAACTTCTCCTGGAGACCACTTACAAAAACAATAGAGTAGATGCCCTTAACTAAATAAAGAATTGTCAACTAGTTCATTTTTATTCTGAAGTTTATAAAGACAAACATATGATCAGGGAAACAAGCATCTACCTTTATTCCTCTTTCTGCAGTTAATTCAATTCAAGAAGTATTTTATTAAGTGCCTACTGTGTGCGAGGCATTGCTGGCTACACACTCATATACAAAAGATGTATTTTTAGTTCACATGAAGAGATATATAAAATACATTGGCTTTCAGAAGTAGTGAAATATTTTAGATATCACAGGACCTTAACTGGGTTGGACCTTGAAAATTACCTAGTCCAATGTCCTTATTTTACAGAAGAAGAAAGCATACTAAAATCCAGAGAAGTTAAATGAGTTGGCAAGGACACAGCTAATTAGTGGCAGACCAAGAGTAGAATGTAGGTCTCAACCCCTGGTCCATTGTTTTCTACTATACCTCATAGCATGAGTATGCTATTTTATCCAAAAGTATTTTTAAGCACATTGTCAAAACACAATTTAAGTATCATCAGCAACTCTATTCCCCTTGAAAATGAGGGAGTGTTGTTATTACCAATGTGCAAATGAAAAAATAGATAAAACCTATAGACATGAGGGGAATCCAGGACTAAGCTAAGCAGGGGTGTGCAGAAGTTGTTCAAACCAGCCCAGGAGAGACTGTAGTTAATTTTTGTTTTGTTTTTTTGGCCAGGCAGTGGGATTAAGTGACTTGCCCAGGGTCACACAGCTAGTAAGTGTTATATATCTGAGGCCAACTTTGAACTCAGGTCGTCCTGAATCTAGGGCCAGTGCTCTATTCACTGCGCCACCTAGCTGCCTCAAAGTTAAATTTTTAGTGTTAGCATTTACACCACAGAAATTAGAGAAAACTACAAATCAGGGCTTGATTTTTGTTGTTAATAGGCTAAATTTAAAGTGATGAAAAAATATTAATAGTGCAGATTAAATTTTAAAGTGTGTCATGCGTAGTTTTTTTCCCTCCCCCAAGGAGTTGGCTGTTAAACACTTACTAGCAGACCAATGAAGCCAAGTTTCCTATGCCTGTGCAAAACCAAGGTATCACTCTCCTAGCCCACTTCAAACTTCCCCTTCCCCTATAAAATAAATTTCTCGTTTATTTAAATCTTGATTTTAAGATTGCCCTACTTTGGAATTTTCAATATTTTTTCATATAAATGGTTTGTCTTTAGCAAATACATGACTAGATGACTTGTGAAGTCTGGGAATTAAAAAGTGCTATCTTATATCTGAACGAATAAATCATTGGTATTAGCTCCTTTCTATTTCTAGAACAGTCAGAAATTGGCAACAATCAGCAAGGTATCGCAACTCTTTGAAATGGTGTTTTCATTTAGAATTTTTTTTAATGCTCCTGCATATTGTTTACAATGAGCCAAATGTCAATTAGCATTGGCCAGAAAAGAACTGCTGGGTTATATGCTTTTCTATGTATCTTTTCATTCATCTAAATTATTGCGGCTTTCATTTGCATGATAAATGTGTCTTCAAAAACCAAAAAAAAAAAAACATACTTAATATTTAGCATTTTTTTAAAAAATACCATGCTCATAACCCCATCTTTTCTCTTTTGAA